CCCCAAGGCAAAAGATAACACCGCCCTTGGCCCCCAGGGCCCACGTGGGGCACCCAGGCCCAAGACCCCCCACCCCGCGCCCCCCAGCACCGGACCCCCCACCCTGGTTCCCCAGCCCCTGGACCCCCAGCCCGGGGCTCCCCCGCCAAGCCCCGAGAGCGTGCAGCCCCCGCCCGGACTCCCTCCCGCTCACACCCGAGGAAATCACTAGGATGCCCGGGTGCAAAGGAGGTGGGGTCTGCTTCTTCTGGATCCCTGAGTGGGAGCTGGCGCGCTCAGGGTCACCCCCGAAAACCAGGTCCTGGGCATGAAGGGGAGAGAGTGGAAGTCACCCCGGAGACAAAAGGAAAGGGCCACTGACAGAACTGTAGACCAGGGGGACAGACACCCTGGGGTTGGTGGGGGTCCTGGTCCAGCTCAGGGACCGGCTCCAGAACAGGTACTTTGGTGGAATAAATAAATAATCAACTAATAAATACTATATAATTTTATTAACCAATGTCATCCAATAAATTCAACAAAAATTTAAAAGAAAAGCAATAAATAGATGTGTGAGAAGGTAGAGGGAGCCCCAGAGGGCTGGGGCAATGGGGCTGTACTGGAAACCACTCCCCCGTCCCAGGGGTTTGTTGGAGGGGGGGACAGAAAGGAAGTGAAGAGGGCCTCCCCCTGGGATGGTACCTAAGGGTGACCCGCCAGGGCAGGTCAATGGCAGGCGGGCCCTTGATGGATCTGGTGGAGCCATGTGAAGGTGGAAGGTGAGCAAAGGGGGTTAAGGGGAATGGATTTTTGTTTGTTTGTTTTGTTTTCTAGTATGAAAATATTTATCTTCCTCAAAGATGTAACTGAGAATAAACGTGCATCTTTCGGAAGTGTCTGTGCATTTGACACAACTATGTGGCTGTTTAAGCTCACAAGATGCCATCACCCCTGCCTTCCTGCAGACCCACTAGGATGAGCAGAGGCTCATCTCAGAGGAGACTGGACGTTGGAGTGCAGCGGCCGGGCCAGGGGTGGGTGTGAGACAGCCCCAGGCACCAGGCCTGTTAAAGGAAGGTGGCCCTTGATGGGGAGGCTGACACTAGGGTCCCACGAGGAGGGGCTTTCTGGGGTCAGATCAGTTGGAAGATGAAAGAGGCTCTTTGGTAGGTGGTGAGCTCCCCGTCATGTGGTGTGTGAGCAGATGGTCAGCTGGAGCCAAAGAGTCCCTCTGGTTCTTGGGTCCTTGATTCTTGCTGACCCACTGTTTCTGTGGCTCTGGCTCAGGCAGACTCTTCTGGGCTTGCAGGGCCCCATTTCTCCAGACTCAGCCCCCCCACAGCATCCCCAGGCCTCTCCCACCTGGACAGTCTCACCAGCTTCCTTCCTGACTTCCCAGGATCGCCCACCAGCCTCTTTCATTCTGGCGTTCAACTCCCAGCCTTCAACATGAGCCTCCCCTCCTCTAACACTGGTCCTATCTCCCTTTGCTGCCCTGTCAAGATCCAGGAATAAAGTCCTCATAGTTTCCCATCCTCTCCCAACCCTGCACGCCTCCCTTCTGTCCTGTCCTCCACCCTGTAGGGTGCCTCAGAGGGTGGGCTGGCCCCACCCTTCATCTCGGGATGCTGTCAGCCAGATATGGAGGCAGCCCTGTGGGCAGACAGATGCTGACTTCTGGTCTGAATCACCATGTCCCAGCTCAGTGCCCCTCGGAGCCTTAGCCTCCCCATCTGTGAATGAGGATCTCTGCTGTCTGGCCTCTCAGGGTTGCTGGGAGCAATTGGGATGATCTACATGGGGCTGCGGGGCCCACAGGGGCTGAAACAACAGCCCAGCTCCCTACCACTCTAATGGCCTGCCTGCCTTCATCTCCTGAGTGACCTGCTGGTGCTGGGCCGGGCCTCTGGCCTCCGGCCGATTTCTAGCTCCTGCAGGCGTCATCCCAGGCTGGGACAGGCTGACTCATACACAGGATCGTGGGCACAGCGGCAGTGCCACTCTGCAGTTGCTATTTATAGTTCTCAGGCCAGGCTTTCAGCCTCCAGAGCCAGGGAGGACAGCCTGAGAGTCCCCTCCTCATTCTCCCTAGGGCACAGAGGCCAATCTCCACCCAGCA